ACTTAGAGAACCAACTGTCTATCTACAGTTTTCTTTACTTAAAGAACCAATAGTCTATCTACAGTTTTCTTTACTTAGAGAACCAACTGTCTATCTACAGTTTTCTTTACATAGAGAACCAATAGTCTATCTACAGTTTTCTTTACTTAATTAATCACATATGTATCCTAGAAATTAGTTCAGGAAGTGTGGGTTCTGTTGTTTTTTCACATTCGTTTCTGTAAAATATTAAAAAATCCCAATGACTGAACAGAATGTTTTATCTAATGTTAACAGTGGCTTAATGTTAAATTCCAATCAAGTAATACAATCTGTTGTTAAAAATACACAATAACTAATCTTAGTCATAAATGATTCAAATTACGATATGGAAAATATCTAAACGTTTGGAATATGACCTTCAAACAGAATAATTTTGTGTTCAATATTTTCCTGACATCTGTAATAGATTAATAATAATTATAATTTGATTTTACATTACACCAGTATATATATGTGTCCTCAAAAGTGAAAAGAATATTTGTTTGTTTTTAGAATTTCTGGGCAAAGCTATACAAGGTTATCTCAGCATATATAGACTAGAGAGTAGGTAGCTAGTCAACATCCACCCACTGCCAGCTCTTGGGTTACTCTTGTCTGACCAAAAGAGGGACTATTGTGCTTTACCTCGTACCCACAGTGTAGAGCATGTTTTGTTAGAAGTAGGGTGTAAACCATGAACACTTACGTTCCTATCACACCAACCATTAGGCATAGCTGGTTCAAAGAAGGAAGTTAAGAAACTCAGAGGATAAAATAAAAAACTTCATTAAACACATAATTTTATTTTTAAACATAACACATTCTGATCAGTTTTTAATAACCAGTTACAGGTTCAACTCTGTAAGTTATAATACTGAGTTGAGTCTGTTTGTAAGAAGGAAGCTGTAACAACTGATACTAAAGACTGCTCAATACACAACTTTAAACCTTACAAAAAGTAACAACTATAAGAACCAGTCTGCAGACAGACCTCTTCAATATTACACAAGATGTCTTGATTTCCTGCTTTTCTAGAAAACTTCTAAACAATATCATGAACACACACACTTGTAATTTTATAGTTTCAGCTTGTGAAGCTGTGAACTTCTATTCAACAGCTTATAAGTTTAGCTCCAAAACTTTGTGTACATTGTTAAGATAGCTGCTACTAGTACATAGTTACAAATGTTTAAAATAAGATTCAATAATTGTGAATCTTAAGAAACAAGTTCGCCTTTAGTGTGTGTATGTAGTTCGTAATATCATGAACTACTGACCTGTACTTATAATATTACTTAGTCACTGATGGACAACACATTAATATTATAAAATAATATGTTTGACTATTTAATGTAGCATAGATCTGTCACTAGGAGAACCTAATAACATCAAGCACAAACTTATTGGCCTAAACTTCTTTTATACACTTTAAAACGTCCACTAAATCATTGTTATTGTAGTGAAACTTATATGTCCAATGTGGTATAATGCTCTCAGCAACAGTTACCAGAAGAATATATTCATGTATATTTCCCACAAAAAATGACAACTCTAAAAACATTTCAAAGTATTCAAGTAAAGTTTTATATTATACAGAAATTACAACAAGGTTATGAAAAACTTAACTGTTATGTTTCAAAACCTTAGCGAACCCACATTTTCTTTTTTCAAATTGTATATAAAAGGTTTTCCATGTGTTCAAGGTATTTCTTTGTGTATATAAACTTGTAGGATATTTTACAGAAAGCCCCGAGAATATTCTGCAAGTCTGAATTAAAAAAGGAAAACATTTATTTTTCCAGCTTACAGTTTCATAGATCACTTTCTTAAATTAATCGTTTTAGACACAACTCTCCACAATTCCAACATACATATACTCTGCTGTTTCTTAGATGGGCAAACATTATCTTAGTTTTAACATGATGTAACCACTATCTGTTTATTTCTTAAAACTCGAGGCTGTTTTAACATGGTGTAACCACTATCTGTTTTTAAAAACTCCAAACTTAGTTTTGACATGATGTAACCACTATCTGTTTTTAAAAACTCCAAACTTAGTTTGACATAATGTAACCACTATCTGTTTTTAAAAACTCCAAATTTAGTTTTGACATGATGTAACCACTATCTACTTTTAAATACTCCAAGCTTAGTTTGATATGATGTAACCACTATCTGTTTTTAAAAACTCCAAACTTAGTTTTGACATGATGTAACCACTATCTGTTTTTAAAAACTCCAAACTTAGTTTTGACATGATGTAACCACTATCTGTTCTTCAATGTGTTATTTATTACACTCTATAAACAGGTACCCACAGACTTTGGAAACTACATTCACATCTTTTCAAACTGAACTTTGTGTCCACACTCAAGACAGACCTTTTCATACATGTCATCTTCAAGAGGAGATTCTTGTCCATAAGAATGGACATGACCTTCAGATATTTTGTTGTACAAACTGCTACGTACAGTCATTCGCAGAGCTAAAGGTAAAGAACATAAAAAAATCACTCAAAATAAAAATCTTTACAACAAAATTAAAGATCTTACAACAGAATGATTTCATATTTTTTATATCACCTGCACATAAATTAACAAAATTATGACTCACATCAGGATTGACTGGATAATAAATCAAAATGTGTAGATATTATATAAAGTTATGATTGTCATTATAGCTGACTGGATGTATCTTCCGCACTTGAAGAGAAAGTGGTATCAGCTTTTAAACATGGCATCGTCACCATGGAGAATCAGAGGAAAATGTGTAGGTTAAATAAGTGATACCTAAATGACTATTACAGTTACTCTTATGAAACACAGGATTACAACTGTTATCAAGTACCTGTTACTCTTATGAAACAGGATTAAGTAACATGTACTTGATAACAGTTGCTTCTTATGAAACACAGGATTACAAATGTTATCAAGTACATGTTACTCTTCTTATGAAACACAGGATTACAACTGTTATCAAGTACAGTTACTCTTCTTATGAAACACGGGATTACAACTGTTATCAAGTACAGTTACTCTTCTTATGAAACACAGGATTACAACTGTTATCAAGTACAGTTACTCTTCTTATGAAACACAGGATTACAAATGTTATCAAGTACATGTTACTCTTATGAAACAGGATTACAACTGTTATCAAGTACAGTTACTCTTCTTATGAAACACAGGATTACACCTGTTATCAAGTACAGTTACTCTTCTTATGAAACACAGGATTACACCTGTTATCAAGTACATGTTACTCTTCTTATGAAACACAGGATTACAACTGTTATCAAGTACAGTTACTCTTCTTATGAAACACAGGATTACAACTGTTATCAAGGACATGTTACTCTTCTTATGAAACACAGGATTACAAATGTTATCAAGCACAAATAAAAGGACTTCCATAATTTGGAAGCATTAATTTTATACCATCATGAGTACCTTTGACTTTTTTATTATAAGCTTTATGCTTCCTCTTCTCTCTTTCTTCCAGTCGTTTTCTTTTAGCTTCTTCCAGTTCTTCCTCAGAATTCCAAACTTCTAGTGCTCGTTTCTCAACCTAGTGGTAAGTTTAAATTAACACATTATATTTTATATAATTACTTGTGGACCTAAAGCAAGAACTCTATTACTATTATTAGAAATAAAAGTTTAATGTAGAATATTTAGTCTACCATACATTAAAATACATCAATCAAGCCAGACCTTATCTTTATATTCTGACACATCAATATAAATACTTTATGACTCACATGACTCTACTCTTCTGATACATCAGTACAAATACTTTATGACACACGACTCCACTCTTCTGATACATCAGTGTAAATACTTTATGACTCACACGACTCCACTCTTCTGATACATCAGTATAAATACTTTATGACTCACACACGACTC